ACACTTATTGTTTTTATGCTTAAACCCTTTTTCGTCTTTGACCTAATAATGTTTTGCTTTTAAAATAAAAATTTAGAAAATGAAAACAAAATACAGAATGTAAAAAAAATTTAATTAAAAAAATATATATAATATTACTTTTTTTATGATTCAATTAATTATTTGCATTACATCAACTAGCAAACCACTTGCAGTTCCCTCACAAACTCCTGTTTGGGAAACCATGATTTAGCCTACTAACTAATATTAGTTTTTAGGGATAGTTCAGTGGATAATGTCTTTTACTTTACTTTTTTATGATTACTACTTTATGGTTATTTTATGGTTTGCGGGTTCTTTTTGGAGTTTCACAGTGATCAATGATCATAAGGGCTCTTGTGAGCAGCGAAACATGCTATAATTTAAAAAAACATGACTGTGCAGTACAGTAATGGAAGAGCCAGTCAAAAGTGTAGTGGGAGGCATCTATATTGCGTAGGATGAGAAGACTTCTCATTTCAGGCATTTCTCTAAAAGAAATTAAAGCAGGGAAGCGTCTGGTGATACACGTGTTGTTCACTATCCGTGCTTCTTTTGCTGTGGTGTGACTTTTATATTTATCCTACAGTATCGTAGGCGGTTTCTCTGTTCGGACTCTGTTCAGTCTCTGTTTCTTAGTCGCTCCTTGACATCCCTCAGCCACTCTACTACTTGAGAACAGCTGTGGTGCAACATTAGTCTTATATTACAGATGGCCTCGAATCTCCCTCAAGCACTGACCTGAGACCAGCTTATCTAATAAAAGCCTTTGAACTCAAAATCCTCCCAAAATATGAAGCTAATGTAGAGTGCATAGCCGTTACTTAATCGTGGTGGTGGTGCGGTGGCAGGTATGATAATAATAATAATAATGACCCAGCACATGGAGAGCGGACATATGTTGATTTCTTGCATCCGTGTCTGGGCTTGTTGACTTCATCCCAGCTGTTGTTCTTTGACTCGTGGAAAATCACAGAGAATGCTCACAAAGCTGGCACCAACGACCAAACCAGCGTAGAAGCAAAACTAGATTCCTGTTTGAGTTGACATAATGATCGATAGTGGTTGTTGGCAATGAAACAAAGTTAACTAGAGTTCAGTTTTATGCAACTAAGAGACTTGATAGCTTTAGCAATGCATCCTGACTGGTAAGACTTTTGGTAGACTAACACTGCATTATTTATTTATTTTTACATACAGTCTTTCAGCATCGTCTTCAGTAGTATTTCAGTTTGAACACTGATTATTACCTCAACAGACAGTGTTCACCCTGTGCCCTGCAGATCATTTAGTCCTGCGGTCTCACTGGCCTGGATAAATTCCTCCCATTTGGACAGGCCTAATGAGGACGCTGTTCCTGTGAGGATCTAGGACGAGCTTATTTTACCAGCTACATCAATCTAGAATGATCCTGGTAACACACCACCAAAGAAATCGCAGTGCAGAGGTTTTTCATGGAGTGGTATCTTATTTACAGATACTTTCCAATTTTTTTTATAGCATTTTTTATAGTTTTGGTTTTGTATGTTCTCTCTTTTTTCTTCTCCATTATCTTCTCCATTATCTAATATTTCACAATATTGCTGTTTTTACTGTATATTTGTTATACCAAACCTTTGAGCAGTGGTTGATAAAATATGCAGTTGGTCTTGGGCTAAAATTTTGCAGAAATGTAGGCTATAAAAAAGATGCAAAGGTGAACTTAATGATGCAGAACTGATGCAGTTTTTCATAGGAAACAAATATTGATCCAAGTTAGACATTCATGCAGAATGAGTTTTTGCTTTCATAACAGGGCTTTCAGGGTGCAAGATGCTAAAAAGAAAAGTCAATAGTAATAAAATTGCCTGTGTTATAGCTGAATTGTGTAACGAGGAAGGGAGTGACACAAACAAACATGCGCAATATATATTTTATATATATATTTAGCCGATGAAACAGTCAGTTTAATAGTACATGACCATTTTTCAACCTGTGTTTGACCCTCTGATTGAAAATCTCCATTTTGGAAAATTGTATTATTATTACTGCAATGAACTATCAAGGAAATCTGATTCCTCATGACATGACCCATTTTAAAATGGGACGTGCACCAAAAAAGGTTGAACACCCCTGTCTTAGCGAGGGATGTACAGGCGCTGTTGGACTGATTAGCAAAGTAGTATGAATTGAAAACGACGAAACCAGGGGAATGAGCACATATCCATCTCGTTAGTGTTTTCTGACAGATACATGCCTCCTCTCTCCTGCTATTCACCGTTCGTCTGTCCAGGTGTGACGGAGTCTGCATAGACTTATGTAATAGTTTATTTTGGTATTGATTTGAGCTTGGAACAGAAGCTGAAATGATCGATCATGCTCCTGTATATTTGCTATCAGCCGTTAACAAGAAAACAGAGGAAGGAATAAAGCAAAAGAAAGCACAGATATGAAACAAAAGCTCAGCAAGGACAACAGTAGTTCTTGGCTCCTTTGTTTGATTGTGGTGGATAGGAAAGATATAAATAGCGGGATAGGGTATGTTTAAATTTGGCAGCCTAAGACGGTCTGAAGCAGGAGGTTGCTTGTGAGAAGATAGATTGGATTGCACATCGGGAGGAGGCGGGCTTACAATATTATGGAGGAGTGGGAGGTCCTTGTGTAAATAGTGGGTGTGGTCATATCTTCATAACTGGCTGGACTCTTATCATTAGGCAAAGCAAGTATTTAGCACATTTCATACACCGTGGTAATTCAGATTGCTCTACAGAAAACAAATATTTTATATTAAATCATAAAAAGGTTTATAAGAAATATAAAAAATTAAAGGCAGAAGAAAAATAACCATTGGCTTGCATTCAGATCTGCCGACGTTATTTTGTGTGCTTTTGTACATATCTTTTTGCAATTTAAAAGGATTTATTTTTTATTTTGAAGGAGATATCTTATGCTAACCAATTCTTTGATGAAAAATACAGAAAAAACATTAATATTGTGAAATATTATTACAATTTTGTTTTCTGTTGTAATAAAATATAATTTATTCCTATGATGACAAAGGGGAATTTTCAGCAGCCATTACTCCAGTCTTCAGTATCACATGATCATCATTCTGATATGCTGATTTGTTCGAGACATTTCTTCTTATTGTTATTATTATTATAAAAACAACTGAAAACAGTTGCTGCTATAATATTGTGAAATATTAAGAACATTTTTGCAGGATTGTTTGATGAATAGAAAGTTCAAACGAACAGCACTGTTTTGAAATAGAAACCTTTTGTAAGATTAAAAGTGCTTTTACTGTCTCTTTTGATCAATTTGATGCATAAAATGATGAATAAAAGTATTAATATTATTTTTTTTTTTAAAGACTTACTGACCACCAAACCTTTGAACGGTATATATAGTGGCTAAATCTGTTTCCATCTGTGAGGATGTGTGAAATTGAGGAGGACAACAAAGAAATCAGCTGTGTGCTATCCAGTGCCTCATGATACAACTTGCCTTTTTTACACCTCCTCTTAAGGCATTTAATACTCTTCTCAACTGATGTGGTTTATCTGTGTCTCAGTCCTGGGTGTCACCAGCATAATTACAGTCATTTTCTGTATGGATGAAATCAAAGGATCAGGACTTTGCTATAGTAGATATATTAGAGTCAAACCCAGCTGCTTAAATGCATACATAAAATAAATCAGGAGGGCAGTACTAAACAAATGACAGGAGATAAACTTTAAACGTGAAATGACACACTAAAGGAAATAATGACTGTGTTCAAATTGGTTTCCCAGATACGCCCCCTTTTTCCACTGGTGGAGCAAACCGGTAGTCCCAGTCTTTATTGAAAATTTGTTTGTTTGTGAAGATTTCCAATTATCATTTACCTTATGTAAGGGTTTCCAAAAATTGCACCATTATCTGACTTTAAGAAGTCAGGTGATACATTTGTGTTGATATGTTGTCAGCAGGCCTGCTCTCACTATACGCTCATTGAACAGTCCTCAACCCCATGACAAGGAAAGTTAAGTGGTTGGGTGGAGCATTTGCAGTATGTTTGTTTTGTGCCAATCTTCTCTGTGATGGTTGGAATAAAAGAGAGACCAAATTGTTGACCATTGGCGTGAAATATGTTTAAATATGTGTAATGAACTTTACAGGAAAGGAACACTGTGGCTGTAATTTCAAAAAAAGATGAGAAAGGAGAAAATAAATGAGATGTTAGGGATTTACCCATAATCCTTTGCAATACGCAGTCAGACTGGGATTTCTAGATGGTTACCCATAATCCTTTGCACTACTCATTCAGTCTAAGGTTATGTTTAGCATGCTAATCTTAAGGTTGTATGTGAATGTGTTGTATTTCTAATACTAGTATTCATATTTGTAATATGGAAATATGTTATTTTGGATTCATCTGAAATTTGTCTGTTTTCCATAGTCCATTGCATTGCTAATTTAGACTCAGATGTCCTATTTGTTACCCATAATCCTCTGCTCTACTCATTCGGTTTGGGGGGATGGGCGGCCATTTCATTAATTGTACCTTTTTATTTCCTTTGTTCTTTGTGATATTTTGAATTGACAATAACATTATAATGTTGCTTAAAGATTTTAAAGCTAATTAAATATTTTTGTATATTGCAACAACACATTAAATTGAATAAAAATGCACACATAGTTTTTGTCTCCGTTTAATTTTATGCTTTTTATCTTTAGTTGGCTTTGTTGGGAATGGACCTTCTGTCTGCCTTAGTGATGAGATTACAGGACCGATTTCGGGCCCAAGTTGGTACAGGTAGGAATATTAATATCTTAAATGTGTAAAAATGTATCTGTCAGATTTTATTACCTCAAAAAATAAGGGTCGTTGTGTGACCATTTATTTTCATATTATAGTCTATCTAAAGAAAATTTTGAAGATTTGTTTTTTTATTACTTTTTAAGCAGCGGTGCTTAAATGAAGAGAAACAACTTCCTGCAGAAAGTTTGAGTTTGCTGACAGAGTGTTATACTTGAAGTGCTGAAACTGTCAGCATACACTGAAACCCTCTGAGAAGTTGCTTCTTACAATTAATCCGCTTTAAATGCATTGCTGCTGCAGTCATCAAACGCTGCTTTTGTTACAAATTCACTGCATTCATCAATGAATTTCAAGGCAATCACTGTCACTCTTCAGATTGTCTGCTGTGAGAAATATGCCCGTTATTACGTAATCTGAAGGTCTCATTATTTGAAGTTTCCAACTAGTTGACTGAAAATAACTTTGCACATCCCTAATATCTAATCTTTGTTCTGTCCATCTCCAGTTTTACCGAGCTTGATAGATCGGTTAGGCGATGCCAAAGATCAAGTCAGAGACCATGATCAAACCCTTCTGATGAAGATCATGGAGCAGGCAGCTACTCCTCAGGTAGTATTTGTCTTTATTTAGCCTAAATATTAATTCCAGGATGGTCAGTTCATTCTAAAGCTAACTCTGCTGTCCTGTTGTGTGAACACAGTGCATTATGCTGGCAAACATACATCTCTGTATTTTGTCTTTGTATTAAAATATCATGACAGCCTAAACAATATTTATAATGTAAGGTCTGAACAACCTGCTCCATTCAGAAATACACTTGCGAGATGCCTTTGTGGCATTTTAAATGGGATTTCATTTAGTTAATGAATTGGAATTAGGAATTGAATTGGAATAGGAATGCTCCATGAAAAGGCTGATGGGAGGTCTCATAATGAGATTAGCTGCCATTTAATTGTATTAGATTGAAAGTATTACATTTGGATTGTCTTCACAGTACATATGGGACCGAATGTTGGGGGGGTTCAAACACAAAAACAACCGGACCAGAGAGGGAGTGTGTCTCTGTCTCATCTCAACTCTAAACACGTAAGTCTCATTGTCCTCTCAGTCAAGATATTGTAGCTTTCATTCAACAGAAATACAACTTACATTGACTTATGTTTAAAGGGGTCATATGATGCGATTTCTAGTTTTCCTTTCTCTTTGGAGTGTTACATGCTGTTCGTGAATAGATAAGATCCCTAAAGTTGCAAAGACTAAAGTCTCAAACCCAAAGAGATATTCTTTATAAAAGTTAAGACTCGTCCTAAAACGCCTCGTTTAGACACGCCCCCACATGTCTACGTCACGATGTGGGAAGATTTGCATAACACCGCCCAAATGTTCACACAAAGAAAGAAGGCGTAACTTTATTGTTGCTGCCGCCACCATGTTGTGAAGACGCTGTGTGTTTCGTTGCGAAATCGAAACTACTTTGTTTGGCCTTCCAAAAGAGGACACGACTAGAAATCAGTTGTTAAGTTGTATTTACAACACTGTTCCAAAACAGTTCAACCCAAATATTCAGATGTCTGCGGCACATTTTATGGAGGACTGTTTCCTGATCTGGGGAGAGTAGACTACATTGCCGGCTGTTCTGACTCACAGACTGTAAGTACATTTTCATATTTACAGAATTTGTCACTGACGATTCAAACGCGAGTTTCGGTTCTCCGATCACAAATTCAGACAAGGGTTTTATGTTTACGCGGCGCGATGCAATGCGTAAAAAGACAGTATAAGCAGGGGTGCACATAAGCGGTACTCAGGTCCTCATGCGCGACCAAAATAAGAAATGCACTGTGTAAATTAGTTCAGAGCGCGCGTTTGCTTACCGACATGGTTGACAGCTAATACACATTTACCATTTTAGATCGACAAACTGTACTGTATAAGATTTCTATTCAAACTGAAAGCATAAATCTAGGCTACCCGCTAACGTTTTCAAAGCACAATGCAAAACTGTGACATTTCATTCACTGACGCTCTACAATCAGCAGCGCTAAACCCGGAACCCGGAAGCACATATACTTACTTGCCGGCAACCCGCCAAAATAAAAGCTTGCTGATTTTAAGTTTGAAAGTGAAAAATTCAAATAATTCAAATTAAAAATAACAATTAAGGTTCAAATTAAAATAATAATAATAATAATAATAATAAAAATATTAGCATTTTATTTTTAAGTTCACTATAAAATAATTGTATTTGTATTTAATACTCCCTTTTTATTTTAAAATAAAATGGTATTATCACACTTTATTATTTAGTTTATTATTTAATTTTTTTTAAATTAAGTGCAATAATATTATCACTATTATTCATGTATTTTTTTATAGTTATATTTGATGGGTCACACCATGTGCCGTGTGAGGACCAAACCAAATCTCCAGGTTCTCATATGAGAACCAGGCTGAAAAACTTATGTGAACCCCTGAGAGTAAGTAATTATAATCCATAATTATGTCCCCACTGGATGCAACAAATGCCTCGTTTATAATGGGTTTTAATGTTTTTGTCTCATCGCGCTGGGAGCCAGCATCACAGTATGGTGAGGGGCGTAACATTTCCATCACACGCTTGAGGTATTCGGCCAATCACAACGCACTGGATAGCTGACCAATCAGTGTACACCTCGCTTTTCAGAACGATGAGCTTTGTAAAAATCGATGCTTTTCAGGCATAGAGGAGAAACAATAATGTACATACAGTATGTGGAAAATAATGTGGTTTTTTTTACCGTAAACCACATAAACACATTTCATTACACCAAATACACAAAATAATGTTCTTTTTAGCAACATCATATGACCCCTTTAAATTTCCACTTGTAGTTGAATTTCTATGCTGAATAGAGATATTAAGTTATTAAAATGAAAGTGAAGCAGCACATTATTTTAGGATAACCCATTAACGCTGAACTTGGCTGAACCCTGTCGCTATCGCTTCTGTTTTTCAGATACGGTGCCCAAGGCTTAACCCTGAGCAAAATTGTACCACATATATGTAATCTACTCGGAGACCCCACAAGTCAGGTATGTGCATTTGTCTTGATCGAAGACATTCAAGATTAAACTCTGATCTGCATGACATGGCTTTTTTACAGAACAAAGGATGACGGTAGCAACATTACACAAAGCTATAGTGACCTCTGGTGGTGATTTTGGATGTGGAGTTGGTGAAAATATAACACAAGTATACATTTGTTTTTATTAAGTGAATATAAATTTTACAATATGAATGAATACTGCTAACAGATGCAGTGGAAAGCATTTCAAATAGCAGAATAAACATTAAAAAAGCAATGTAATTGCTTTGCATTTAAGACTCTTCCATCAACGTTGTTTGCATTTGTTTGTCCTCCTAAAACATTTACATATTATTCTTATCACTGATAATATATATTAATATAAGCTTATATATAATAATATATAAGCTTCCACTTTTACGAGTGCACAGTTTAGAGACTTGTTTTAAAATATGTGGATTTATGGAAAATATGAAGTTGACCAATTATCTGCCCAGGTTCGGGATGCGGCCATGAACTGCCTTGTGGAAATATACAGACATGTTGGAGAGAAGGTTAGGATTGACCTTAGTAAAAAAGGACTGCCGCAATCGAGGTAAGCTCTTCCTTTTTTATTAACTCTCTGCCAATTCACAGACAATGCATCAGCATTACATCTACAATATTAGTTAGTCTTCAGGTCACTCCCAGGCTCTTTTCTAATTCAGATGGATTTCTGTTTAATTTTGTACTCATGTTTTTGTTTTGAAGGTTTTTCCCCTCTAGATACACTATACACTGCATCTGTTCATTTACTTCTATCAGGCATTGATAAATTTAGTCAGATATTTTTCCCCACTAGTAAGTGTTTCTAAACAGAGTGAAAACATTCATGAACCATTTGTGCTGTAACAAGCTATTAGTGCTGTAATGATTCTTATTCACTTAAGGGGCTAAAGTGGATATTCATACAGGTCATTAGGTCTTAATTTCCCTGTAGACCCAGAATCAGGCTCTGCCCTCTAACTTGAGACTAATATGCTTTTAGCGGATAAAATTGTGTGCTTACAGCACACCACCTATGTTATTCAGATTAAACCTCCTGAATTTGTGATTTAGCATTTAGAAAAGTATGGCATTCATAGTGCCGCTCTCAGATGTTTTGCTCTATGGGCTTGAGCCTGCAAAAGAAAGTGTCCAGCCATGATACTGCACAGCAAGAGATGACTGAAGTGCGTGGAGAGGAGAAAGGCATGCCAGCATTTGCTTGTGGTCTGAATTTGGTTGTAACATCTGTTAGATGTCCCTCCCACTTCAAATCTGTGCATGTCTCCAGGGACCATGCAGGCATATGTTTCTCTGATCTTCTCAGTGGTTATAGTTTTAAGACTTTTGAGGGCAGGCTCAATTGGAACATGCCTTGGGAAAACAGTTTGCTGTGACTTCGGACACAACGTCAAACCGGCAACTCGTTTGTGAGCATCGAGGCTCAAGTATGTGTACTGCAGAATTTTGAGTTAATTCACCAGATCTTATTAATACAATCATTTGGGACATTCAAAAATATTTTAAGCTAATGCTAATTCATTTCCATTTCCGAGAGCTGCACTCATTATATTTGATTTATTTGATTAATATCATTTCCGTGCTACCTTCTCAGTTGGCTTCATGCGCATCTGTGCCCAAATTCTTTGGGACTAGACCCAATCCTGTTACTAAAAATGATAACCACACAATTTAAATGGCCCTTGGAGGGATCTATGAAAGAATCAAACTCTCATTGCTTTCTCACTAAAGTCCACATTTAGCATAAATCAAGCATGCACAACAAAGTTTTAATTTTCCAAATGTTCAATATCCTTTTTCAGTCTTAAGCGCACTGACAGCCTGACAGTTTTTCAGCGCTGCTGTTTTTCACAGGCTGCCATGGATGTATCTGCAAAATTCAAATCTTCTCAGCTTAATTTAGAGGCACGCAGTCAGTCTGCATGGATGAAGTGAATAGAGGAAGAAATCTCTTTTTGAACAATATAGTGCATAAGGGTTTAGCAAGCAGCATTTCCCTTCTTTCAAACTGCAGAAAAGGCAGCCCGTCTCATTTGCAATTCAAAATTCTGTTGTGGGACACTTTGTAAAGCAGAAATGATGGACTTGTAGGATTAAACATTTGCATTTGTCATTGGTTGTCAGCAGGGATGCCCTTATTTAAAATGAAATCCTACCAGCATGATTGTTGGAAACAACATCCTCTTAAACATTAATATTACAAGGCTTTACTTACTTGTCCTTGTTAGAATTTAATGACTTTGTCAGTAAGAGCTTTGAACATTAACATCATCACACTATTCACAATGTTACTTTTTTTAATCAATATCATAAATGCATGTTTTGAGTATTCAAATTATCACTCAGCCCTATTTATGACCTAAAATGATTCTTTGCCACACTGTAAGGCAGAGAAATGTGGCAGCCCATCCAGATTCAGCATGGAATCTGAATCCCCTCACAGGGAGCTGAGAACATGACGATGAATTGGCTTTGATGCGCAGGGCTCTGGGGATCTGCCTCTGACTCGTACAGACAATCTTCTGAGAGGGATGTAAAGGATGAAGGATTCTCAGAGGGTTTTACAGGACGAAAACATCCGCAGCTTTGTGAATACGCAGTGGGAGGAGTTTTAGAGAGCAGTGCTACATGGTTCAGTTTCACAGGGTTTTCTCTCATTTGAGGATGCTTAAATGTTTCCCAAATTGTTGCTTCATTAGAGGCCATACTATAATTAAAATCGTTATTTTATTCCTTTGATCCACTTACAATGTTTCTTTCATTGAATAATAGTATTGTTGTACTCAACTATCTCTTTGACCTTTAAAGTGCCCCTATTATGCCATTTATACGGTTCCTAATATTGTTTTGGGAGTCTCCTACAATAGGATTACATGCATGCAAAGTCAAAAAAACGCTTTCGTTTTCTCAAAATATGCATTTAATATCACCTCATTTTCCAGCGATTCTCAAATGATTCGTTCGAAGCAGTTCAAAGATTCAGTCTCTCTAAACCCCTCCTTTCCGTGAGACTGCTCTGCTCTGATTGGTCAGATGGCCTAGTCTGTTGTGATTGGTCTACCACGTACAGCGCGTGTCGGAAACAATACGCCCATTGCCATAGTTCTGTATTTTGAATGCTCTATAGAAAATATAAACATCTATTATTTATCATACTTACAGGTTGTGATTCAGTGGAGCAGCTGGACCAAATAAACAGGATACTGATCCATATTTCAACAGCAAGCGTTTTGTGAATCCCGTGTTGAACTCTCAGAGATTAGAGAAGCAGTCGTCAGTAGAATGATGTGTTTGTGGGCGGGGTCAAGTTGTTCGCGGCCGGCCAGCGTGGAACATAGGCGCGCATTATGCAAATGTGTTACCTCATGATGTGTAGCCATCACGGAAGTGGGATTCGAATTACTAACGACACGTTTCAGCTGTTCAGAGTCGATTCTTTATTTTGGGAGACAATAACTTTATTTATCGTGCACTTTCAGCTTTACAACTTTGCAGATCATTTACATTCACATACAGCTACATTACACACTGCATGAAAGGCAATACTGGAAATGGCATAATAGGGGCACTTTAAACAAGATGCTTTTTTTTTGGCTACTATGCCTTTAAGACCTGAAAATGAACTCTGTTATGATTGGCTAACCTCTTCGCACATATATTGCACTAACTTCTGGACTTGCAGGTTTGCTTTGGAGTCAAATATAGTTGGTGCAAAGCTTGCATTACACTGACAGGATCACAAAACCATCCATGCTGAAATGTGACACATCAACTGTTACATCACAACCAGTCTCGCTCAGCCAGACTTATGGCTAACAGCAAAAAGTCTGGTCCTCATTGTAGCTTGTTCTGGCCTTGAACTGCACATTTAGACCGCCTAACCGACATGTTAAGCAACCAAGTACTTTACTGTCTGTTGTGTCCATAGTTTATGAGTTAGGTCACCATGTCATTATGTCCATAGCTAATAGTCTGTAATAAGCGTTTGTTAAATAGTAGTGTAGTCAGGTGGTATCTCAGAACAAAGGGAGTGACCGAATGAAAGGTATTTCCATTTCATAGACATTCACACTGCTTGGTGAGAGCATTTTTTGTCAGATTTGCAACACCTGTTTCTGAGGATTGTTTTGTGAGCACCGAGAGTCACAATTTCAGGAGTTACTTTTCTAAAGGTCTAGTTATTTTTTTTCTGTAACTGAGCAATCTTTAACTTTAAAAAATGTCTTGCTTTTTTTTCTTTTTTACAGGTTGAATGTAATTTTCAGCAGATTTGATGAAGTCCAAAGATCTGGGAACATGATCCTCTCCTCAGGTTCAGGTAGGATTTATATATTTAGAAATTCCAAGAATTCAAATGTCTAAACAGGCTTTTAAACATCATAGCTTTGGTGTTAACCCTGGCTGTGTTCCAAAACTTACTGCCTACATCATCCTACCCTCATAAGTGACCCATTTGTAACAGTCTACATAGACACCATGTTGTGGATTTTTTTTTAAATTAGATTGAACTGCTATTTTAATCTATACTTTTGGAGATTGATGAATTATATTTAAACATTTCTCTTGCATCATCCACCATCTTGGATGGATTTTATTCACTGCGCTTATCACGGTGCATTATGGGATTGCCTTTTCAGTGAAGGATACATGTGATGCTACTTTAGTCCAAACTAAGATGTCTAACTACATTCATGTCAGAAGCATGTCTGTAATGATATAAAATGTTGTCTACATAGGCAGCTCTCTAGCTTTTTAAACTGTTTTCTCTTTGAAATTCATGATGATGTCTTAGGGCAGGGATTTTTTTTTTTTTGTCGGATGAACCCTTTAGTTAGTTGAATCACAACATTTGCGGATCTATAAGTAATAGAGGCTATGAAACAGATTTGTTTGAAATCCAGAATTAGGGAGGTCTTGAGTCCCCCCCCTCCTCCACCTCCTCCTCCTGTTCTCCCCTGTGCACATTATATTGCAGGATTTGGGCTCATTTTGCATTTCAGTGGGTGGTTGAAAGCAGCATCTGTAGCATAAGGATTTTTTGTCTGTTTATTTGGGTGATCGCCTCTTTGACTTTTAGTTTTCTTTGTAAATCTGGTTGAACTGTCAGTGAAATCAGGCAGAGGTAATGTATTGAGATAAAACATGAATATATCATCATTTTTAGGGTGAGGGTTAGCTTTAGAATTACACCTGAAAGAGAGGAAAATAGAGCAAGAGTGGAAAAAGAGAACGACACACTTCATGTTTTATGCTGCAGTGCTTTCACTTTGTGTGTTTGTCTGACTTTAGATTCAAAGGGACTTACTTTGTCTTCTTTTTCTGAATTTTGATTTATTTAATGGAATAATGTCATGCTGATTTTGAAATTGAAAAGCTTTGATGTGATCCTTGGTTCGCACTGCTCCATATAAAGTAATTTGTCAAGAATCTTGTTGCCGTATTGGAACTGTGAGAGTTTTACGAATGATAACGAATGGTCTGAGTGTGCTTTTGGCAGACACTGATTTTGATACACTGTGATGAGAAGCCTTAATCAGAGATTTCCAAGTAATACCGGAAGATTTTTTTGGAGATATTTTGGTGGATCTTTTTCATTTTTCCTACCTCATACTGGAGCAATGGAGTTGTGATTTTACATATAGTAGTTACAATATATTTTGTTGGCAATTTAGTCTAGAGTTAGAGTTGGTAACTTTATGTATAAATACCTCTGTCATCTTCTTGTAGATGCAGCACTTGCAGCACAGCTCCTTTTTTTAATAAGTGCTGTCTCTGCACAAATATTAATAGCATTATATAATAGGAAATGTCTTTCATTTGCACTGGTAATATTTCGTGTAATTCTGTTGTGTGAGGGCCACAGTATCCGGAGTCTCTTTCCTGTGTCAAGATTTTAGTTTGTATAAGGAAGATGTTTCAAGTTCTGTGAACATAAACTCAGAAAAATTTAGGGACAGAAAATAAATGACAAGCAAATGGCCCCAGATCAACTGTTTGTATCACATTCAGTCTTTACAGGGGAAATGCTTTCTACGTCCTTTATTTAAAAGAGTTGGGTGGCTTTTGTCTTTGGTGAAGTCACAAGACCACAGCAGCAGGAAGGGAAAGGGAGGGAGAGGCGGAGACCCAAGAGAGAGACTGTAAAAAAAAAAGCTGGAGCTTTGTTGTATTTGCAGTCTCTGTGTGAATTGAAGAGACACTTGCTCTATGACAACCGGAGAAGGTAAGAATTGGAATGGAATGGCAGCTTTAATGTCAGGGATGAATAAAAGCAGTGCTGGGCACTAGCAGCCTTAAACCTCCAGCTGCTGTTCTGCCAAGGGGACAGCATGTTTTTATCTGTGTTTTCGTGTTTACAGATGATAACGCTTCTGAGATTTAAATATTCGTGTTTTTGCTTCGCCCATTTTTACGGTCTCTTTAGCTGGATTTTAAAGCATTTTGACATGGAAAGGAAGTGTATCCGTTTATAGATGTTGTCGTTTTGGAAAAATAAAACATCTAATCGCTCAGATTGTCATGAATTCAGATGTGTATAAACTAGATTTGTGACATGTATCGAACACTCAAGATATCTCGCACCTGAATTGCGACTGCGTTTCTGCAGTCTGTTACAATTTGTCATGTTCTTGCAATGCATTTAGTAAATATAACTGCATTACGGATGTGAATTTGCTTATTTTGCTCATCGTTTTAGGAGTGACTTTGTGCTATTTTGTATTTTTTAACATTAGCATATGGATCCAATGCATGTCTATGATTGTTGCACCATTCCTCGCTGTTTTCTTAATCGTCTCACAGTATGAGCATTGCAATTTTAAACCTACAACATTAGCCTAAAACAATGCTCAAATAAAAATTTTGTGGTGGTTAAAAATATTTTTCTTTGCCTTTGTGACGCTAGCCAAAAATAAAGCCATTGCAGATTAAGTTATTACATTGTTAATGATGACAATTTTATTTTTGTCTTTGGAATAAGACCAGGAATCTGTATAACTGCTTTCATGTTTACTTTAAATAAAATGAATCCACCAATAACACTTCCTTGGCTTGCTTTAATACCGATTGACAGCATGTTTCCTTTCCATTCTGAATACTTGGTGATACAACAGAACTAGGACTCGTGTTCTGTTTGGAGCATAAACCTTCATTCACCTTCAGCAAAGTACTCTGCTCTGACCATTTGTTGTCACCTTTGCACAATATGCACACACTGTCAACATAATACAGGTTATGAGTCACGTGCGTTAGTGTAGAAGTGCGGTCTAGGACACCCTGTGTTTATCTCAGGACACACTGCAGGGGGTGTTCAGAAAGGTAGAGGTGATCGAGGGATGGATATTTTACACTACCAGTCCATCTTTTTTTATATACAGTACACACTTGATATTGGATCCGGCAGCACAGTTTGAGAATGGAATTAATGGATCGGGGCGTTTGTGTGTGTATGTGTGTGTGTGTGTGTGAGTTCATGTCCTACAGCACTGTTATGTAAACATGTCGCTTGGGTTCTAAGCTTTTTTGTGCTGACATGTTCAAAGTCACTCTGACATGTTATGCTGTGTCATCGTCTCAGTCCAGTCAGCAGCTAAAGAAAGTTGTCGCTTGACACAGTGGCAGGTACTGTGGCTATGAAGATTAGCACTGATTTTTGACAGGTTTTTTCACAGGTCTGTAAGCATCCCATGTTCCTGTGGTAAACAAATGACATTGTTTCTGGATTAAAACATAGTTTGTCTTCAGTCGCATGTGAAAAATCTGATTTAGGAGCCGGGGAAGCACTTTGTTCAAAGTTGGCAGGTCATGCAGAAAAGATTATATCCTCCTTCCCCTCCCCAGTTGAAATGACACATCTCTCAAACTCAAAACGTCAGTGGCAAGGAGGTCATGCAGAAAAGATTATATCCTCCTTCTCCTCCCCAGTTGAAATGACACATCTCTCAAACTCAAAACTTCAGTGGCAAGGAGATTAAGGCCCGTTCCAGGGGTTTGTCCTCTTGAAAGGGGACATTACTCACTTCTGAGAGCAGCAGGAGTAAATAAATATCAACATCTCCACACGGCCCTTCCGAATAAATCCATATTTTGTGGTCAGTTTTAGCTCTGTGAAGAATTATTATTGAAAGAGGCTGATTTACTCCGTTCCATTGGAAAATAGAGAAATATGTAAATTGTACAGATGGTGTTTCCTACAAATTGTGCTGTTATAGTAGATGGTGACTATGGATAGATATAGTCCAACAAAAAATTGTATATCTGTTGTTTGCTCACCCTGATGTTGTTATAAACCTGTATGGCGTACTTTAAAGGGATAGCTCACCCAAAATGAAAATTATGTCATTAATTACTCACCCTCATGTCGTTCTAAACCATGTCGTGGTACTCTCGAACACGCGTTGAAGACTGACATGGAAGAGAAGAAATTGTTGAATAAAGTCGTTATTTTTGTTTTCTTTTCGCACAGTGTATTCTCGTAGTTTCACAACATTAAGGTTGAAACACTGATGTCACATGGACTATTTTAACGATGTCCTTACTACCTTTCTGGGCCTTGAATGTGGTAGTCACTTTGCTGTCTATGGAGGGTCAGAAAGCTCTCAGATTTAATCAAAAATATTTGAATTTGTGTTCCGACGATGAACGAAGGTTTTACAGGGTTGGAACAACATGAGGGTGAGTAATTAATGACAGAATTTTCATTTTTGGGTGAACTAACCCTTTAATTTATCCTAGAGGTTTAGCAGAACGCTAAGCGAACTAAATGTTTGCATATGTCACTAGAGAGAAGTTTGATGCTTCACTGGAAGTTCAGATTATGACATTTTGATTAAACATTACAAGCTAAATTTTTTTTTATTGAAAATACAACACATACTTGGATTAATCTTTCACAGTAAGATTAATAGAATCTTTGGGTAAAGAAAAAGGTGAATTTCAATTTTATGCAGCAAGCGTGCGTGCAGGTTTATATATCCTGGTGGGGACTTAAACCTGAATACACACAGACTCATGGGGACTCGTGTCACGGTGGGGACCTACATTGAGGTCCCCATGGGTACAAAAGCTTATAAATCATACAGAATGACCACATTTTGCTATCAGTTTGATTGCATCATAAAATAATTGCTGTTAATAGTGTTCATCGTCTGTTTGATTACGTCTTTAATTGATTTTTCCGTACATTTCTGCCATATGTACATTAACTGACAGTCACCACTGATAAGCTACTACTAAATATTGTAGAAACTTAATTTGCTGTAAAGTTGCTTTGCAACGATTTGTATCATGAAAAGCGCTATACAAATAAACTTGAATTGA